GATACGTCACGTGACCCCAAATTTTTTGTATTTTCATGGTCGTTTTTTTTACTTTTATATAAAAGAAAAAAAATTTCGGGGAGTTTGAGTTCATTTTACTTTCTTGTAATTTTATCAATTAACGCAGATTGTAATAAAAGAACATTGAACTTTTATTGTCTGATGTATTGTCTTTGACCCATTATTGTTGGACACCCTTGAAAACAGAAAACGAGAAAAATAAAACAACAGTTGAAAAATGCCTTTATTATTGAGACACTTGACTAGAAGAATAAAGTACACCCGGAGACAATAATGAACAAAGATTTCAAGACTCATGCAGCAACATTTTTTATTACACTTTGAACTATGAAGTTTATTAACTCTTGACAATGGTGGAAATATGATTAACCGTATAAACTTTTGAGACACTACTACTGCAGTTTTGAAAGTAATTTATTGATAGCGTGACTGCAGTGATCAGCAGGACTCTAGTTGTGCCAAAAGCTCAATAAAGTACTTTCCAAACCAGTTGTCTGTGTTCCAAAAGTTTGGCAATCATGAAAATTCATCTTTACTTGAGAAATATTATGATTAACCGCCATAAACTTTTGAGACAGTACAGCTGCAGTTTTGAAAGTAATTTATTGATAGCGTGAATTTAGTGATCAAGACTCTAGTCAAGTCAAAAACTCAACAAATTGCTTTCAAAACCAGTTGTACGGTGTCCCAAAAGTTTAACGTTCAATCCTCATTAATTAAATCTTGTTTCTTCGCCACTTTGCGCGTCTATTTTGAGTTCTTCTTGGAGCAAAACAATACGCCGCACCAACCGTTTGATACCAGTAAATTATGCACATAAAAATATTTCCTTTACGTCAGTTTGAATAAGTGTTTTCAAGCGTAGAATAAAAGAATTACCCGAGGGAATAACATGTGACTAAACTAGGCAGCGCCCAAAGAAGTCAAATACATGACGTCATATTTGGGTGAATATGGGAGTAGAGACCCGTGCAATTTTTATTTTTGTAATTTCTAATTCCGCAAGCCCCAAAGAATCTTGCACTTTGAAAATGCATTATTCCAGTTTTTGATTGTAATCTTTTCAAAGTGTTCCGTGTTTTAGTCACGTCGTTCCCTCGAGTATCAGTTATTTCTTTCACAGAATCAGCATTCTTTTAAATTTAATAAAGCCTTAAGCAATCTAGCACTTTGTAAATATCTGCCTTTATTCAATCAGTAATGTTTTCCGTTCTTTATTTGTGTCAATCCCTCGAGTATTACTAATTATTGAACAGCCACAATACCCTTAATATGAGCAGAACAGGAGAATACAAAAGAAATCACAGCTTTTCTCGTAGGAATGTGTGGTATTTCTTTTGTGTTATCCTGTAAAACTCGCATTCAAGATAATAGAAAGAAAGCACAAAGAAACGGCTGACATTTATAATAACGACTGACATTTTTTTGAAACGTATTTTATTTGAAACTCACTTTACTTCGGAATTTTTACAATGTTTATTTATTTATAGTTCAATCTCTTTTTCTCTCATTTCACTCAGCTATTTACGTTTCATTCTTTAACGTTCTTTTTTCTTTTTCCATTTCTTTTTCGTTCCTTTATGTTTTCTATTTCGTCTTTCACTCACTCTGTTTTTACTTTTTATTCTCTAACGTTATTTGCCGTGTCTTATTTGTCACATTTTCTTTAATTTTTCTTTTCATTTCTTTTTCTATATATCATTACTTCAATTTCTTTACCTATCCATTCTTATCGTACTCTACTTTTCTTCTTTCTATTTCAACTATCTTTTATAGATCTATTTACATCATCAGTTTCTATATGCTCTCTTAACTTTCAAAAAGTATTTCAATAACACTTTTTCAAGCCTCGATTCTCCGTCTTTTTCGGCGATTACTCTATTCACGCTTTTCTTCTCTTTTCTTGATTTCTTTCGTGGTTTCTTCTGCCATCCATTATGCCGAATACCTGCAGATATTAATGAACAGGGCAACAACAGATTAACTTTTTAACAGCAATGCATATATTTTATGATATTCCTTCAACAGAGCAGTTGGTATTAGGACATATTTACATGAAGTTAAGGGGGTCTTACCTATTTACCAGCCACGCTCGTTATAAGAAAAATATTAAAATCTGTATAAAGAGCCTTGTCTTATGTTTTAAGCTCATATAAAATGTAATGTAATTTGTAAAGTGGATCGTTGTCTATTATGTGATGTCATCATCACGCATACGCCTAATTTATGACGTTATAATTCATAAAAAATTGAAACCAAAATGTTTTCCATCCATCCAATCCAATGAAATACCATCCATTCATCCAATCCAATGAAATACCATCCATTCATCCAATCCAGTGAAATACCATCCATCCATCCATCCAATGAAATACCATCCATTCATCCAATGCAATGAAATACCATCCATTCATTCATCCAATCCAATGAAATACAATCCATTCTACCAATTCAATGAAATACCATCCATTCATTCAATCCAATGAAATACCATCCATTCATTCATCCAATCCAATGAAATACCATCCATCCATCCAATCCAATGAAATACCATCCATTAATCCAATCCAATGAAATACCATCCATTCATCCAATCCAATGAAATACCATCCATTAATCCAATCCAATGAAATACCATCCAGTCATCCAATCCAATGAAATACCATTCATTCATCCAATCCAATGAAATACCTCCTAGTGGCAGTTTTCGTACTCTTTTACATGATGTGCTGTGTTTCGTTTGGATGGGTGTTTCGGGGGAGTTGGAGCGTAGAACATGAAGCAGTAGCAGAGGGTGTTGCCATGTGGAATAAAAAACATGGATCGGAGACCGTCATGACCGAAGCTACCCATCCAAAAATACACTAGAAAAACATTATGGTATATCTTATTATTTTGTTATAGATCAGTCTTTTGCCATTGTAGTAGATGATAGGAACAGAAAGATCTTTTAGTCCATATGTGATCCTTAGCTTCATCCGGTTAGAAGAAGATTGGTACGGATGAATAGACTGTTTATACTGTACTAGACCCCACCCCCCCTCCCTTCCTCCCTCACCCAAAAAAACAAAAACATGTACAGACGTACCAAAACAAAACATCCCTTCCCGAGTCAGTTCTTGATTATGATACGGAACGGGTCTTTTAGTTCTTGCTTTCCGGTCCTTGCAATCTTGGCTTCTGAAAAAGAAAACTATTAGACGGTCCAGAAAGGCATAATAGACAAATAGAAAGATGTGTCGAATATAATATTTATTGGACTTACGTTTTTATAATTGCGCATGACAAATGAAAATGGTTGCGCATGATGCCAATTCATAAATAATTATGATTTTGTTGTTTTGAATGCCCGAATGGAAAAAAAACCTGAAAGCTTAATATCTGATAAAAATATGAATAGCACAGCTAGCACGGCGAGGGGCTAATCTGCGTGTGTGTCGCGATGGGTGTAGTGGCCATGGGGATCAGTGCTTTCTAAAACTATCTAAAAAGCCCACGATCTGTATTATTACCTTTGTTCCCGCCACCCAGAAGTGAGTCTTAACTTTAAACTGATGACGTCTGATTCAGCTGTGGTAACGAAGAGAGAAATAGAAAAACTTGTTGCCTTTCGTTACCAAAACCGCTTGAAGTTTTCGGGGGGCTATGGTGATTCTGAATTTGGTAGCCCCCTTAAGTCATATATAGCGACTCCCCCCCCCCCCCCCCCCCCCCGCCTGATATAGCTGGTCCCTAATCCATAAATTATGAACGATCCTAATATCGCTTCTCTAGCGCTCTTAGTACGCCAAATAATAATTGTTTACAACGGCATTTTCAGTTCCTTTGTGCTTTTAGACATCATGTGCCGGTTCTTTCGATCCTTCCTGTAGACCCTGTGGACTGGGTATCCTGTGTCTTTGATTAAATCCATGACGTCAGAACATTAGTATTAATTGATTGTAAATTGTAAACACTAAAAGTTGTTGATCTAGTTTTTTCTCAGTAAAAACAATCGAGTGTTACCTGCGATCGCGGTTGATCTGAACGAGGTAAGTCATTCACGTAACAATATTTTAATCATTCGTAAACATGTAATAAATATGAATACAAATATTTTCTACGATCATACTATACTATACTAAGTTAATTTATTACAGCACCTACTGTGAATTCTACAGCGATTCCATCCGATCTTTTGCCTTCTACTGGCTCGAACTTAGCTGAAACATATATTAGAAATCATTTTGTTTCCATTGTTTTCCTTGCCAATGTATATTGCTGTCTACGGTCTTCGTGGCGGTCCGACTTGTACATTGGTTTTGACAACGTGTAAATTACATCCTCGGCCGTTACAAAACGATATTAGCTTAACTTGCTTTTTTTTTGATTGCGTACAAAAGAACTACTATAAACAATAGCTTTATTACATTCTGAAGTAGATTGGATACTTGCAAGACAAACAGCTGATTTGATTTGGGGTTACATTATCATATTCCCTAACTTTTATTACGTAACAAGTGGTTATTTATCTTTTAAAGTATTTTGATTTTCTTAGTTGTGATAGTCTTCGGTTGGTTATGTCTCGATTTATTTGTTTTATCTTGACTCTATACTACATGTATTGATCAGTACGCGAACTGATATATATCTGGCGTATATGTGTATATATATACGATTACAATCATGTGATTAACTATAACGTAACTAGTTAAACAAAGATGCATTGTCACACAATATCATATAATGTTACATTAGTGATCTTGACCTTTAACTTGGCGATGCGTATCGAGCTTCACTCTTTGAACTCAATGGAATTTGAATACACAAAGTAGTCATGTGTATTGGACAATTAAGAGTGCATGTTTGGAGGCCAGGGGGCCAGGGAGGCGGGGGAGGGGGGATCTAGAATCTTTTTTCTTCAACACAACAACAGTGTTGGTTTACCATGGACCTACGAAAAGGAGCCATGAAATGAAGTCTGGCAGGAACAGTATTAAGTTATAATGAGTGATACTGAGCATCATCTATGGGTGCAGAGAATTTTACCCAATTAAGGTTACTTGCATTATAGCCTCATTTACTACCACTTCCAGATTCCCTTGCTCACTTTCTTTTGTTCAGTTAATTAGCAGTTCCCTGCCCCATCTTGAAAAGTAGTTGTGCCTTTGCATCGAAGCCAGATGAACGTGCTTGCAGTGATAGAGACATTTTTCTAAACACCTCGAACAATTATTCACGTATCATTGTAAGATGATAAGGCACTGCTCCCTTTTGAGATGGCGCAGGGAACAATGAAGGGAACTATTTTCATAGTATTCTGATAAGGAAATAAAAATTTGAATAAGAAAGAAATTTTGCAAAGCCTTTTGGTAGTGGTAGTAAAATGATGCCATCGTGCAAACAGCCTATTATTCTTGTCCAGTTCCAGAATGACTGAAGAGGCTGATGCATTATATAACAAGATACCCTCCAATGAGGAGATAGAGAGTTTCATAGCTAAACATGAAAAAACCAGTGACCCTGAGTTGCTATGGCGATTAGCCCGATTATCAAGGATTCTAAGTTCATCTCATCCCGATGCTTCCAAGAAGAAGTCTTACTGTCTTAAGATGTGTGATTTTGCTAACAAGGGCTATGAACTGAATCCTAATAGTGCTGGATGTAACAAGGTATGGTAGGTAATTACATGCATCTCCTTGAGTCCAGGCGACCGAACTCACAGGTGACTTCACTGGATACCATGGTGGTACATAGCCTTTTGCAAGGTCCACCACCCTCTGTCTTATGTTACCTTGTTGCTTATTCAAGCGCTCTTGACAAATTCTCACTTTGCTCAAATAAAACTCCTTGGGAGACAAGTGAGATCTGCTTAGGGCAAGTCTATCTAGGTGGTATATGGCTCTCCCTTCACTATTCCCAAAATGGCATAAAAATATTGTATAGAAAAGGGTGTACACTACACTGAAAAACCACACTAGACTTTTGTCTCAGTTAATTCTCACTGAGGTGTTTTCCTAAAATACCCGATAATGCAGCAAAGGTGGGAGTGGCACACACCCCATTCCACACAGATGCAAGACTGTAATTGGGTCTAGAGGGAGGTGATTGACAGTTAATAGCCATATAGTCAACATAATTTAAAATGCTGGTTTGACCCTAAAAAAGTTGAATATTTTTGACCCTGATCCCCCCCCTGAGGCCCAACCCTCTAACCCACTTAACTACTTTCACATGTACAGCTAAAAGTTGATAACAAACCTAAGTTGCCATAAAACGGATGTAAGCATCATATTAAAGTAATGAAATAATTTTATCATATGAATATTTTTTTAGTATTATGCTGTAGCAATCATGGAGGCACCAACAGGCCAGTCTGAGAAAGCAAAGCGTGTCCATGATGTCAGAGCATGTTTTAAGGTAAGCATTACTGATCAAACTGAGCCATCCGCAGATTTGATTAAAATATAGATCTAACACGACCTTCTCCCGTAAAGCCTCAGTGGCCGAGCAGTTGAGTTCTGCGAGAACCCAACTGAGGCAGATTTTCTAATCTGCTTATATACACTCGATGTAGTATACACTTAACATATAGATCTTTACCAAGTGACAAAAACACATTTCATAATAAAAATAATGTTTAAGATATTTCTGAAATTATTCCAACAGAAAGCTGTGGAGATAGATCCCCAAGATGCCACTGCTCTACTGATGCTTGGGATATGGTAAGACAAATGTACTATTAAATGCTTGAGCAGATTATATATTTGGCATATGTTTTTCACGGTAATGAATTTGGTAAATACTGGCTAGGGAATCAATATGTGAAAAGTCTTCCATCTGCCCCAAAGGAATTTTATAATACAGGCACCACCTCTGACACTAACGCAACCAGGATTGGATATCATTGGAGCTTGCTGTTGGTTCTCTCCTGTACTTCAAGGATTTTTCTCCAGGTTCTCGGGTTTTCCTCTATCCTCAAAAAATCAACTCTTGCATTCCAATTAAATCTGGCAACAAGTGATTTAATCATGAGCCTCTGGCTTACAAGACTTAGGAGCAATCACTTCCTTCATTTTCAATGTAAAATAAATTTTATTTCCTTATTTACATTTAATGAGAATTAAAGTAATATTGTTTTTTTTTAAAGTAATATTTACAATTTATTAATATTTAAAGATAATTGACAATAGTTAAATAAAATACACTCCCCCGCAAATAGCTAAGCTAGTCTGGGCGGGTTTGTGTTTAACAGAAGAAAAGAAGAAAATTTTTTTTAAATGTTTACACACAAGAAAATAAGTTAATAGCATATAAGAAGGAAATAGAGTGCACGCACTAAATCTGTGAACATTAATTAGTACTAATTAGTACTATTTCATACAGAATCCTTCGTTTTCTATTGTTTATTTATCACCATTTAGTACTAAAAGTTAGTATTTGTTTTACGGGTTTAGTGCGTGCACTCTATTGGCTTTAGAACAAATAATGAAATTATTATATCCTGCACTACTTTATTTAGAGGAAAAAAGATTGGAGATTATTCAACATCATAGCCATATTTATTTAAATAACCATAGAGAAGCTGTCTAATTTTCTTTTTGAAAGCCAGTTTTGATAAGTCCCGTATAGAATTAGGAATTTGATTCCACAATTGAAAGCCAAAACAAGAAAATGAGTTCTTTCGAAGATCAGTTCGAAAGTATCTTGCATATAAATTATTAGATGAAGAAGATCTAGTATTATAAGAATGAATACTGCTCATACTCATATTTCACTCTGTCAGTCAGAAAATAGTTACCTCTATTAAGCAGACTCTTATTAAGTGGAGACTCTTCATTAAACCGACAGAAAGATCAGCACAGTCTTGCAATATTTTCCCCAATAGGTAACTTTGAAAGAAACCTTTATAAACAGCTGACATACTAGCCTTTTTAAGCAGAGGCAAAAACCCAAATGAGTCCTTTTAATAGAGGTACCACAATGACAGGCTTTCATTGATTTCCTAGGCACTTTCGAGTAGCTGATTTGCCATGGCTTTTAAGGAAGATCGTAAATGCTGTTCATTCCAACCCTCCAACAGCCACCTATCAAGAGGTATGCAATGATCTTGTATGGAAGTTATAAAATCAATAATTATTAATAATAAAATTTCAGAATTTGAATCATCACTGTAAAGTTTGAATTTCTACAGTTACTCTGCCTTCCCTGCTTAAGAAAACTGTAAAATAATTCAAGTGAACATGTTTTTTCCTTGTTCTAATTTATTGTGGAATTTATTTTTAGGCACTGGAGTATTTTGAAAAAGCTGAGAAAGGTAAGAAAAATAGTTTTTAAATTTATGAGTGAAATTATTAGAATCTTAGCTGGGTTAATAATATATTAATAACATCTTTTTTTAGTGGAACCCAACTTTTCCCTCAGGAATTTATTGATGTTGGGTAAGACCCATTTGAGACTTAAAGATAACAAGCTTGCCAAGGAATATCTACAAAAAGCTGTGGACCATCAACCAAAAAGACCTGAAAATGAGGAGGTATGTTGGGATGATCAAAATAATATATTAGGTATGTGGTAATGGCATATGTTTGTAGTAATGCCGTGTGGTGTATATTAGCTGATCCTTTGAGAGACCGGGGGACTACATTGGATTTTGGATTGCTTAGATATGTAGCCCTATGGCATGTTGTGTATCGGTGTATCGCAATACGGGCAACAATACAGCAAAAGTCAGGTCCTAAAACGCGACACATATGCTGGCATCTAGCAGACCATGACTCTTGAATGCCTTCTTGATCTCACCCATTCACATGCATTAATGACTGTAATATGCACAAGGTATAGCCCAACATGACACTTATAAACAGCTCCTTGTCTCCTACCCAATCACATGCAGTAACACCTGTAAAATGCACAAGTTACAGCATGCCGTGACACTTGAATGGCTTCTTGTATCCTGCTCAATTAAATGCAGTAATGTCTGTAACATGCACAAGCTATAGGACACCATGACACTTGAATGGGTTCTTGTATCTTACCCAATCACATACAGTAATGTCTGTAACATGCACAAGGTATAGGACACCATGACACTTGAATGGGTTCTTGTATCTTGCCCAATCACATTCAGTAATGTCTGTGACATGCACAAGGTATTTTACACCATAACGCTTGAGTGGCTTCTTGTATCCTGTCCCATCACATGCAGTAATGACTGTAACATGCACAAGGTATAGCACACCATGACACTTGAATGGTTTCTTGCCTCCTGTGCAATCATAATCAATAATGACTGAAACATGCACAAGGTATAGCACGCCATGGCACTTTTAAAAAGGGCTCCTTGATCTCACTCAATCACACGCAGTAATGTCTGTAACATGCACAAGGTATAGCACACCATGACACTTGAATGGGTTCTTGTATCCTGCTCAATCACATGCAGTAGTGACTGTAAATGCACAAGGTTAGCACACCATGATACTTGAATGGCTTCTAACATGTACCTCCTGTCCAATCACATGCAGTAATCAGTAATGACTGTAACATGTACAAAGTATAGCATGCCATGACACTTGAATGGCTTCTAGTGTCTTCTGTCACTTAACAAACCATTATAGAACAATGATAGACATGGTTTTCATTGTGCCTAGTTCTTAAAACGTCTTTAATTTGTCCTTTTGTTCTCTATTTTTTCCAGTTCCACAAGGAGGCACAAACTCTATTGAAGGGTCTTTAGATTTCAAAACTTCTTTTACACTTTTACACCAATGGCAAGCTCTTATACTTGCAGGTTCAAGTTTAATAACCAATTATTGGTTTTTTGTTTTTTTCCAAATTATATGGGGTTTTTATGATAATTTTTTGAATTACATTATTTAAGTCCAGTTTTTTTATTCAAATTGAATGGTATTTACTGCAGACTGATTTGTGGGTAGTATAGATTAACTTTAAAAAATATCGTAATTCTGAGGCAAATATAAGAATAAAAATAAATAAAATCAGAGTGTTCCATTCTGGTAGCTGAATAGCAAATAAATAAATCATGTTATGGAGTAATGTCCATATCAAGTCACATGATATGAAGCGAATCTATGATGTCTATGGTAGCTGAGGGTATAATCCAACTGCTCAATGGTATAATTAATCGAATTACTCAAATATCTATATTTTCTACAATTACATACAGTACAACATGTTAAATATCAATAGCCCAGCGCACTGATTCTAAAAATAGCTTAAAGATTTGAACAAACATTACATTCTGTTTAACTGCTATGAGGATTATACGAACTGATTCTATTATTTTTACTTAAAGTTACAATAATAACCCATGTAAACTAAGATCAACTGCGATCGGCTGTGAAAATTATCTGCTGAAACTGAAGTAAACTTGTAAGTTTGTTTGTCCAAATTTTTTATGACGTCACGGTTGCGCTGCGCTATTGGATTTGACTTCTTCAGCAATCAATTTGCAGAAATTTCTAGAATTTTAATTGTCCGATTTTTTTCACACTTAATGTGATTGCTCTGGCATGTGCCTTGCCGTGTCACTAGGGTGGTCGTGCCATAAACTTTTCACAGTCATATGAAAACTGCTCTACAGGGATTCCGGGAGCACTGTACATTACTGTATACTAAGATAACTCAAACAGCTATATACTCAATATTTAAGAGAGACTTGGTTGATAGTGATCATAGTAAATTTTTAAAGGAAGAGGCAATTATAAGAAGATATCTTGTTTATAGAAGACATTATTTTAGCCAACTTACTGTTAAATCTAATAATTGATTAAATGTCAGACTAGAAATTGATTAAAAACCTATTTTTTGATATCTTTGGAATTTTATGCTATAATTTCAGACTTAATGCTTTTATCCCATTAATCCCAATTCACATGTATCCCTCAATGCTTATATAAAGGATTAGAATTAAAAACAACTATTAAATGATATCATCAAGATACACTAAATTTATTGAATATTGCACTCACATGTACTAGCATTAATGCAACTCACAGGAAATCTGTTTTTATTAAAATTAAAATGAATCTTATTCAACTTACTTATTGCTCAATTTTTTCTGTTACTCTAAAAAATGGCCCAACTTAATGTCCTACAAGTGTGAAAATCTATTCCAACTATGCACAAGATATGTGATTTCGATTTGATCCCAACATCAGCTTTTTTGAATTTTTCCTGTACACTTAAGGAATTACAAACTACTTTCAAAAGATGGAAATAAAAAAGGGGAGGTCGCCAACATTGTTTTAAAAGCTAAAAGTCTAGAGTTTGAAGTAGTGAAAAACTAGTGTTCTTGATTGTCCATCAAGACAATGATTTGAATGACATCATCTCTACATGTAGAAAGAATAAAATACATGCTTATACCAAATTCCATTTAATTATACTTTGTTTATTTATTTATCAATCACACCAAAATGATCAGACAAAAATCAGTCCTTCATTTCATGCCACAACACTGTTCATTATCTGTTCATTATCTAATGCTACATTTAATTAATTCTATCAAACATTTTAAATTATTTACCTACATCTTGCTTTTAGCTAACCCATGGTGCTTCTGCAGGCTCTTTCATATTTAGAAATGAACACCTTTCGGTGGGTAAATTGTCCTAAAAATTATCACAACAAAAATTTAAATTAGTAATGAGTAAAATATTTCAGGCTAAAAAATAAAAATTTTGACAATTATCAAGAATTGAATTTTACTCATTCAAGATTTATATCATTCTAAAAAATCCTACGGGTCAGTAGTATTATGTAGGGTCTGCAGTGTTTGCATGATTGTCTGCATTGTCTGCAGCATCAGCAGTGTCTGCTGCGTCAGCAGAGTCTGCTGTGTCAACAGCGTCTGCTGCGTCTGCAGCGTCTGCAGCTTCTGGAATGTCTGAAGTGTCTGCAGTGTCTGCAGTGTCAGTAATACTTGTCTGTAGTGTCTGTACAGTGTAGTGTCTGTAGTGTCTGCAGTGTCTGTAGTGTATGTAGTGTCTGTAGTGTCAGTAATACTTGTCTGTAGTGTCTGTA